GTTTTAACTCAAGCAACGTAAGTTATGATATTATTTACTATTGCATATGTATTTTCTTTTTAATTCAAACAAATATATACTCGTAAGTTAATCATATTTATTCTTATATTATGTTATATTATTATAATAGAATCTTACTCTTTACTCAAATCTCGATTGTTTGTTGGGGCTAACATTTTCTTATGCAGTCCTTGATTCTCGCTTCGCGCCGCTTCAGCTTTCACATGTACACCCCTCTCTGGATTTGGAGGGGAAATGCAAGTGGAGTCAGGGGAAGGTGTCCGTGCTCACAGGAGAAATGTAATTTAATGCAAATGTCAAAATGAAAGGTAATACATATTTTCAGAATCGTTTTTTCTTTTATTAATCCACGTCCTCCTAATTACTAACTTAAGTGTCACATCTCATTGAATGAATATAAATAGGTAAGGAAAGATAGTCGCATATCGGATAGGAGCATAATATCGGATATCAAGGTATCAGCTCTGTACTGAGCTGCAACCGAGCAGCATCTATGCTAAATACTACCTCTCCCAACATCCATTATATAGTGGAGTTGAGATAGTTTTCGCGCCAGTACCGTGTCAGTTCAAATTATTTTTGTGATTTTGTGGTCGAAAAATATTCAATACCTTCTTCTGTTCACTTCTTACAATCAATTTTTAGCCACCAATTTTAGCAATATTATACGTAATAAAATTAAGGAAGAATATTATTTTGAAACTAGAATCAGCTTGTACGTCTACGTCTCGTGCTATTTAAGCTATGTATTTCATAATGAAACGTTAAGGCTCTCAATACCAGATACTTAGGGATCCTATTACCAGATATCGAATATTAGGGTGCTATTTTTGTTAGTCTCCTTATTTTTATAAATATGAAGCCAGAATGATTAATCAGTTATGAGCCCATTCAAATGTTACTATTCTCACGAAAACATAGTTTTTAACATACTTTATAGAGCATTAACCTGTTATCAAATTGACGAATTTATGGGTAAAGCTTATGTTAATTCATGCCACTCTTCTGATCCGATCTGCACATTTAGTGCAATAAAAACTCTTATTGATCTATTAAGTATAATTTTATTATTGTCATTACTTATTTGCCTATCCGATATTAGGGCACCCCTCATCCGATATTAGTGGCCCATTATACGTAGTAAAGGGAAAGTTACGTAATGCAGCGAAAAATAGATTTCGAGATTTCAACGGAAATACACGTTTTGGTGTTGCCTGATACAGAAAAAGTGTGTTCTTCTCAGAACGTCCGTCCGTCTGTCTGTCCGTCCGTTTGTTCTGTCCATTTGACCTGAGACGAAGCTCTGCGATTCTGAAAATCATTCATTGGTTTTTGGGGGTACTTTACATGAAGCCCTTTCGAGGTTTTCAAAATGTTCTCAGAAATGGCTCCTATTTTGTTTTTTAATTTCTGGGAAGAATATAGTAAATTACACTTATAATGGCGGCATAGATCCAATATGCACGCTTCACTCTGAATTTTCCAAAATTTCAAAAGTTTGAATTTTTTTTGGAATTCTCCTTCAACTACAAAATTAAATATAGAGATTTTTTCTTTAAATGAAATTTGTTGTCCTAAATTTTTCTGTCCTGTTTTCTCTTACGCCGCTAATATGCACATTTCCAACAATTTGTAAATTCTATAGTATTTGTGAGTTAAAGTTCTTCAAATGACTTCTAATGAAGTTTTTTGAATACTCAAAACTTTTCTGTGAAGAGTGCTCCAATTTTCGAATTTACAGAAGCACTTAAGCGTCATTTTCTTAAAAACGGCTCCAAATTTTTCAAAGAAAATTGCCATTTAGGTTGCGGTTTTACTGTTTTTTTAGTATTCTTAAAATAATATTTACGTTCTACTATTAGGACCCCCCCCAAAAAAAATTAAATATACTTTGGGCGGCGATAGATGGCAGTAGTCAAGAGTACGTGGCAAGTTCGCATAGCTAGCCGAGACTAATGGAAATAGAAAACTAATACGGAAAACTCAGTGCTATTCTGTAGCACCACTAGTTCAAACGCGCAAAAGTGTCCACTTTTACAATCAATTTACACACACACACACTCATATATATATATATATATATAT